GTTTGCTTCTGTAATGGAATTAGTCGAACATGTGCTTTGTCGCTGCAATGGAGTCTGCAACTGTACACCATGAATTTTTACAGGTGTCGACGAGAGATGCCGTCCAGCACTGTATGATCGTCGTTGAAATAACATTTCTATCGATAAATTCTACAATGTTCGGCCATGATTGATTACTGATTGATGCTCAGCTCTACAGAACGTGCGGACTCGAATCGGATTATAATTTATATCTCCAGATCTCAAGTTCTGTGCCACCAACTTGAGGCCGTGTTTCCCTCGACTTCGGTATTGAGCACCAATAGATTGTCATGTCAGCCGCGATGAGACGGCCAACGGTATGAATTCCAGTCGCTGAAAAAACTGTTCTCTTTTCCGGATAACATCGTCTCTTTGACCACAGATGAAGAAGATTCAAACTGCGGTTGCAACGAAAAACGTTTGGTTCCAGTATTCAATTTAAATGGGCTGTCGAGCGACCAGAAACCAAATCAATTACCTCCTACTGATGGGAGTCACTCCACTGATGTTCCTTCATCCACCGGACGGTAGGAAGATTGTGTGGTCTACACGTTGTAAACAGCTGCTCGCGGCATAATTATCGCAGACGCTTGTTAAGATGTTAATATCGCTGTGGTCTAATGTCCGGAAAGCAGTGACCCCCTACCCTGTCTTGTTGAGAGTACGGAAATTCCAAGTGAGCATTCGAAGTGATGATCGTCGATGCCGGGTGGCTACGAGAACAGTCTTCTATTGCAGAACGTGCAGCCTATGCAGAAAAGTTGTGGATTGCACTAGTCATCAAACCCAGCAATATCTAATAGAATGATTTTGAAGGACTTCTATTCTGGTGCTGTCGATTGCGACTGTCATGGCTTGTCGCAATGTGCTTTAAGCATTTCGGTCACTAGAGAAGATTCAACAGTGGGAGTTTCATTTGGGGAGTTGGTACGATATAAAGCTCCAGGTTACTTCTCCAACACGATCATATATGAATATGTCTTGCAGAGCAGTTAAGAGACGCATGTGCTTACATAAAGTCATGAAGTCAAAGACGCTAAAATTCAAAATAGCATGCCAAACTATATACCAAAATGTCAACAAAAAATTATGCGGCCAATGGCAGCCAAATATTACGGATGAAATACAAAATAAAAAGTCAAATAGAGAACAACACCAGCGATAGCAGGTTTAAACCTTCTGTTGATTATGACATTGAATGGTCTGCCATCAGGTTGGTCAAGGTGAAGGCCAGCTTTACAAAGCATTCGCATCAGTTGACATAGCTACAACTCTCGCCCATCTTGGTATGATCCATCAGAACACTATTCTGACCCTGTTGTTCGCAAGTCAATGACTTATTATCCGTTTATTACTTGCTTACACCGAAGCAAGTGTAGGGTACATTCCTTGACCAATGAAACTGACGAAAGAATAGAGACATGTTCGAAAAAGAATATATATATATGGAACGGTCTCCACGGGTGTTCTGAAGTCATACATTTGAATCGATAACCTGACTGTCTGAATGCATCCAAGAATTAAAACTCAGCGAATGGTTCGTGGAT